CGGTGGAATGCTTGGCACGTCTACTTTTTCAGACAGATCTGGCGTGGATGGTGTGGATCCCCTTGTGATGTAGTCCATCAGGCCATGGGCCAGTATGAGATCACAACAACCACGGCCACGGCGATCGTGCCGTCACAGCTGCAGCTAAATTCGTCGTGGTGCCTGTGCTTTAGCAAGAGGAAACAGAACACTTGCACCTAGCAAGCGATGAGCGGTGATATGGCCGCAGGTATAGACACAATGTAGGCACAATATGGACCGACACCCGGAAAATGCAGATCCCAAACGTTTGTCTGTCCATCATGCGCTGACACGTTTGAGTAAAAGTACCATCGTGCTGTGCTGGGGGACGTGTTGCTCAATGGCTCAGAGTTGCACTTGAAGACGTCTGCTCTATCTTCCATTGTGTGGAAGAAATTCTTGCAGAGAGTTTCATTTTGGGGAAAGCCCCATCGAGTGTCATGTTTCCATCGTGTTGACAATGCGGCCTGCACCGTTTTCATCGCCCAATTGAAATGTCACCTGGCCTACAGCCCAACGAACGGCCCTCTTGACAGCAACTACAAGGCATACTGCAGACTGCTATTGTTCAGTGTCACTGCTGAGTTCAGATCATCCAACAGCAGCAGTTCCATGGCAGATTGCAAGAACCTCACAAGACTTGGAAAAGACACTCGCCTGTGCATCATGAGGAACGGATGGTGTGGATACTCCATTTTGGAATCTGGTGATTGTATTTTGTCCAACAACTATAGAACAATGCCCATGCAACTGTGCAGGCGATGGTAGGCACAACTCCATATACAAGAATGGTTCCGAGACGGCTGAAATGCAAACTGTGCACGGAAGGGTCAAACAAAAAAGATTTGCGTATTCACCCCTGGGCATTTTGCCTGAAGGACACAGCAAAGTGATTCCTGAGACAACAATCATTTCAAAAGAGAGAGCCCTAACAGACAGCGGGTGCCCCTGCTGACCAAACATTGATGGGCTTCCGCTCCATAAGAGCAGACCACTCCCCTGTTTACTGAAGCCCTTTCAGCAGTATGGTTCATGGCTTGGGAAGAGAGACTGCAACAAAAACTAGGCGAATCAGCAGAAGGCTGGGCAACTAATTGGATGCTCTGTTCTGTGCTTTGACTTAGTAAGAAGTGTCTAGACGCAGGGTGTCAAGGTAGCATACATGCTTAGACGGACGTTACCAAGCAATTGTATGCAAACTCGTGTGGACTCTTAATTCCATGCCTTATTTTCCCTTTCTTTTCCTCATTTAGTTCGTTTCTTCTATTTCATTTCTTTATTGTGGAAGGGTGGCTGCCCTGGGTTCGCTCCATTTCACTGACCACATCTGCTGTTGTGAAGGCTGCCCATGGGGATGGCAGGCTGGCCGACACACTGGGTTACCTGGCCTCAGCAGGATTGGAACACCTGGGACTCCCATCACACGAGGTGGGTGTGCCTTTGCCAAGCATTGTGAGGTCCCAGTGTGCTACCAAAACATCCCTGCTGTGAACTCAGCAGGCGCACAGTATCAGTGTGCAATTTTCATGCTGCTTTGACAGATGCATTAAGTCATCCTTCAGTGGATGAAATATGTGCTTGGCAAAGTCCAGGCTGTGAATGCCTATTATCCAAGGGTTGCACCATTGTGATTCTGTGACAGAATTCTGTTGTTGGCGAGGTATGGAAAGCATGGGGCATAGACACACGTTTACTGCTGTGAAGCTGCTGAAAAAGCGACATATTCCTGGAGAGAATGTAAACGAGATGTGCACACCAGTGTTTGAACAAAGAGAGAAGATGGTTTGGACTCCTGCAATGCTGTGCACATTGGTTTTTGACAGGAGTTTATATTATTGTCATCAAGAGTGTGGATGGTGTTGATCATAACAATATGGATACAACTTCATCCATGCCCAGTGAGTCTGGATGTTTTATTTGTCTCATATGTACATGGCTGGGGCTCGATTGTAGAAAGACCCTTGACTCTCTCTTCCCTGTGCCCGGGAGCACATGCAGCAAATGTAAAGAGGCGTTGCCTGACAAAATGTGCACAGTTCCAAAATGGTTCGAACGAGTTTTGCCTGGTGCACATCTTTTCAGGATATGAAGGTCAAGCAGGGCCATGAAGGTCGTGGAGGTTGTGAGGGCCCCCAAAACCTAAGCCCTGATAACTCGAAACTCGAGAATGATCTTCATGAGTTTCATATCTGGAAGTGAAGGTTGTTGGACGTTTGTGAATCTCATTTGCTGAAAATGTGTGCCAAAGCTCTGTAAGCTATATGCAGTGCCAGACAATGTTTGTGATTGTTTTGATATGAGGTGGACTGCTTCCTGTTGCAGGTAGAAGAGGGCATTCTTCTCATTGTGAGCTGTGTGACCAATGCATTGACTCAATGTGATGAGATTGAAAGGTGAGCACTTTGAACTGTGCTAAACACGGGCTTGCAAGTGATGTAATATTTTGCTTTCCACCTTCCAGTCCATTTTGCTTGTATTTGTAGACTTTTATGTAAACAGCAATCCATCGTTGGAAGTATGCCCATGACTGCAGCATCCAAGTGGCAAAATGTGCTGTCGCCACGCAGTACTTAGAGATCAAGCTGTTTGCTGTCCGTTTTTTGACGTTCAGCTTTTTCTTGCAGCCTGTGTTTCCACGCCGCTTTGGGTGTTTTACAGCCCGATTGCTGGTTGTTTACAACCAGTTCTCCAACTTGTATTCACAGTCCCTGTTGGGGGCATGCGCTGTCCACTGTGCAAGGGAGCCGGTTTCTGGGGTGTGGGATGCCTATGCATGGTTATATAAAGACCCGTGAAATAGTCAGTGCACCCCGAATAACGGGCTGAAAATACTAACTGCTGAAATAGCACTGATAAGAAAGGCCAATATACACGGTTTCGAAAATCGTGCACCATGCAACACGATTGAGAATCGTGTAAAAATTGGGGCTAAAACGTGTATTTATCGTACCAAAATGGGACCAAAGAGTGTAGTACCGATTGAGTGAGTGTACACTGTTTTTGCACATTTTGGCAGGGTTTTACACGATTTTACATGGTTCAAACGGTGTATTTTGGCCGATTTTTTACTTGAGCAGGGCCCAATAAGACAATGAGCCTGCTGGAACAGCGAGTCCCAATAATGGTGACAGCAACAGGAATTCACGCTGGTGCTGCACTCTCTGTACTTCAGGCACCGACGCTGCCTTCTGACGGCTCAGATCTTGTCCTGTTTGCTGGACAAGCGCGCACAGAAGACGGTGCTCTCAGTGGCCGGAGTGACGTCATTGTGTGGGACGCTGACGGAGTGGGCGAGGGGGGAGGTGGAGTTTCGCAGGTGTGCGCAAATGTACTTGTTTGATAGTGGCAAAATAGGGGCGCGACAATAGTTAATGAATATCTGTATGTGCACACATATTGTGGTGATTAATAATCTTAGGATTGCCTGCTGGGAAGCTTGGGTTCATTTCCTGGGGCTCAAAGTCAAGCAACACGCCTAAGCGTCCAGAAATTCCGCAATATCTGGGATCTGGACATCGAGATCTAGAAAGCTGTTTGATGTTCACAGGTGCTCGGAACTGGCCAATGAAGCTGCTTGGACGCTCGGATTCGTGGTGCACAGTTGCGGGGACAGGGTAGGTGCAGGGGCATCTATCGTGATTTTGAGTTCCAACAATGCAACAACGCTGAAGTAATCATGATGGCAGTAGTTATTTTGTAACGATGGTCATACGAGCACGAGTACTGTATTACCAAATTGCTGTGGGTGAGCATTGTCCACGAAGAGTGGATTGCATTTGTCAAAGCACAACAAATCGTTGTCCCTTTGCAGGCTTGGTTTTTACGCCGTGAAAACTGATCGTATTTACGTTTCTAAGCGTAAAAACAGTTTTACGTTTTTATGCATAAAAATGCGTAAATACACGTAAATACAACGTAAAACCTGCCTGGCGTACGTAAGCACAGTGCATGCAGACTTGCGGAGTCCGGAGAGTGGCAGCCAGACGCTTTGGAAGGGGCAGAAAACGAGTTTTTGTTAAACCCCATCGTCGCCCTTGCCAAGGGCGATGTAGACATTGTGCTGCGGGTGCTGGAGATGGCGGAGCACTGATCATTGTACGCAACTTTCATCGTGTAACCTAGGTGTCGAAGGGACCCGTGAAAACGTAAAAATAGCCGTAAAAATAGGCCCTTTTGCAAATTTACGTTTTTACGCATAAAAACATAAAAGTAAAAACGTAAAAAAACGTTAACGTAAAAACCAAGCCTGCCCTTTCGCCTGATAGGTTAATTGCCCAATAGAAGCAATGAAATAAAAAAGACAATGATGTTCCATTAAGTTGTATCTATGTTTGCAGCTTTCCAATCCCGACTGCTGGTGACGTCTGTGAACAAAACAAATTGGATTGTGTTGCTGCTGCCAGTGCAGTCTCGTTTCATTCACAGCAAACAGGAACACTGTGGGGAACCCAGATATGTTGACGCGCCATTGCACACTAGATTTTTCAGAAGTTTCCAGAAATCAGCGATGGCCAAAAGCAGCGACAGGCCTCATTTCTGCAGACTGGCTGTTGTGATGGGTGTTGGTCGTTGGGCTAGAGCCTGAGTGGTGTAGGCAGGCCTATCCTTGCTGCACCTCAGAGTCCACATGAAGGGCCCCACACTTGTGTCTGGCATTTCTGGGTCTCGGACGCGATGTATTGGCAAGGCCGGCAATACTCGGGCAATTGTCACGGCTGGTCGGGAAGCATGGGGGTTCACTCCGACGAGAAATCTGCCTCACTTATCCATTGCTCAGTTTTTGGTTGGGCATTGTGCGCTTTTGTAGTGTGCTCGCTCGGGGCATCATAATCACTAGAAAAAAAAGGCCAAATAACACTTTTGCGAACACACATAAAACACATTTCATCGAAGTTCTACACGCTAAGAACACAAAAATAACACAAACCCGTAAACTTTGTACACGTTTGAACACGTGCTATTTTGCCCTTTTTTTTCCTAGTGGATGTTGCTTTAACCTCATAAACCCCCTTCTAAAAACGTCTCTGTATAAGGTATGCCTTTTTCTCTCACTCAGTGGCAGGTGCAACTGCGGCATCCATGACCGAAAAGGGTCATTTCATTCCAGAACATGGAAGCGTCAATTATCTGCTGTATGTTTGATTACTAGTGAGAGCACGACCTCGCTATATCCTAGCTAACGATGAAACGGTGGCAATGCAGGTGAACGGCGACACTGCGAGCCTTGTGACATCAGTGCTGCTGACCTACTTGAGACAGTATGGCTCCATATCGTCCGGAGATGACGGCCATTCCCACAAGGTAACAATTGGCATATCGGCGTCAGCCAGATTTCCACGTTTCCACCTTTTTTTCACAACCGAAGGGGACGATTTTTACTGTGATTTCCATTTCTCTTTCTTCCTTTCGCAATGGCAAAGCGTGTCCCTGAAGCAATTCCAGGAAATGATGTTACACAGTTCTGTTGGTGCTTTGGCGGTGTCGAATTGCTGAGAATCGCGCATTGGTGGTTCAAGTAGTGCTAAGCGAGACCGAATCATGGCCAATTATATCTGCGCATTTATGCAGCTGCGCCCCACCCTATCGCATTTTTGTGCATTGTTCGCGTTTTCATGCGAGAAAGCTCATGCCAGATGCACATGTTTACATGTGTTTCACAAATTTCATAGATTCGCTATTTTCAACCAATGCGACTGAACCCTCAAAAACTTAGGCTATGCTGCACTCTTGTTTGTGTTTTCGTCCCTCAGACTCCTGGCATCCCCATGGTGTCGCCGCACCTGGCGTGCCAGGCGGCCTTCCACGCCCTTGGCCTCGTGTTTGCGAACGGTCCCCCAGGGACCAGGCAGAACGAGGCAGTACTTTCCGGTACAGTTGGTGTACTGCAGAGACACGTGCAGTGCCAAGGTGGTCCCCTGGAGGATGGCGCTGCATGCAGAATGTACTGCGAGCTGCTGAGGCTGCTGGCTGCCCTGGTGGCAGAGGTACGCTGCCCACGAGATGCTGAGTCTATTGGACGCCATGGTGTCAGTTGTGCAACAACTTGTATTGCCCGATGACAATGACGTATATGATGGCCCAACATTACAGCACAGTCTACATTCACGATTTGTAACATGATGTATCATGTTGTACGGTGGACAACCAGCACAACATCCACAAACATTGTATCACAGCATCACAGTCACACTGTTGAAACATCACAGCTTGTTCTGAATAGCGCATAAAGAGATATAGAATAAATATGTAAATATGTAATATAAATAATACAGTATATGAATTGTATGCAAGTACATTTTATCATTGTGTATAACTATACGATAATGTGCAACTTCATAATTCTGTTTACCATAATTCTGTAAGCAGACATAAACTGAAATGCAGCTCCATCATTGACATATTGAGTACATATACATACATGTGTTGATACGTTTGTGTATCAACCCACTGATATTTGTAACTTAACAAGGAATCAGCAACCAACAGCTGAAATACAGGTGTTTCTCTTCTGAGGAGAAGGGCGCCCATCTGCCATAAGCGCCCATTGTGATAGAGTGAGCAACAGCATGGGGATCATGCCCCCTTACATCTAATACATGTAACACGCGTTGACAAGATATCAAACGACTAGGTAAGCGTCAGCTTGCTTTTCAATGTGTATTTCGTGCATTAGATGGATGTTAGAGCAACAGGCGGCACAAAATCTCGAACCCAAACGTGGTGAAAATCGAAAAAATTGTTGGCAGCTGAATTGCAAAAGGACAGCCAAGCGGCTGGTGCTCAGCAGAAAACAGGCGATCAAAACGTCTGAAATGGAATTGTGAACTTATTTACTTATAATTTTGATCTATTTCATTTGATCAACAAGTCGAAATCGAATATCTCGAGGGATTTTCTGTGCCTGCAGGGCAAAGGCGCTCATTTGCCACAGGTGCCGATAATGATGGAGTGCCTGTCCATCTTATTCCAATATGGCGCAAGCCAGTCGATGTATTCTCGCCCTCCACAGCAGCTTGGTTCCCCCTCCCCTGCACCGCACTCCCAGCCCCGGTCCGGGTCCCCAGGGCCCAGGTAGGCGCCAGTTTCCTCGCTTCACATTCATGTTGCACTTGCTGCACGTGGTAAATTTGCATTTAATGCAAATGTGCCAACGTAACGAGTACCATACACCGAATAACAAGTACATGCACGCATTTTTGTGCTGCGTTTGCGTCGCTTCATACTTGGCCTTCAGGGGACCAAACGGAGGCATTGCATCTTGCAAACGGCGTTGGGCATATGCACATCCAAATCGTTTTGGTCCCCGTCATCATGCGTTGTTTCATCCAAGCAGCTGTTTCATTACCGCATATATACACTGCTATTATTCTTTTAGCTAGATTTGGCTCATTCACTCCCTGGCTGCTTTTACCTCGTTGTCTTGTTTGCTGTGCATGCAAAGTACACATGCGCTGCACTAGGAGTGCAGGCCAAGGCTTCAGGGAAAATGTGGAATAAGGCTCAGTACGTTACAGTACTTGCTTGTGCCAAATTTTCTCAAAGGATTGGTCCGACTGGCCAACTGTCAGTGTTGGGGGAAGACAAGGGAGGAGATGAAACCAAAGATGCGCCCACGGGCACATCCATTGATGGGAAAGTAGTCTTACATGCCTTGCAACGAAATACAACAAATCCATCCGAGGGAAGGACAATGAAACACATAGGCAAACAATCAGTAGCAACAAAGGTTCGTTGCCGTGGGACAACTCTAGGAATGACATCCATGTAAAAATACTTATAATGGTAGCAGTAGCAGTAACGTTAATAACAACTGCAATGATTTCATGTCTCCCGCTGTTGTAACTAGAACTGATCGAGTATTATCAACAGCTGGACGCCCAAATAGAGGATGAGGCATGAGGAATTGCATTAAGGACATTGATGAACAGACTGGAAGTAAGGGACAGAATCCCTATTGTCCTTTTGCTCCGCTGTAAACCATTTCTGTGTACTCAGCTTATGGGGCCCAGTCAGGGGTGGCCACCCCTCCACCCTGCCTGCCTTCCTCACCACAATTAAATGGAATCCATCTGAAATGCCCTGGCCCATACGCAGGTACACGCCTCCGCACATGCGGCGCGGCAGCCAAAGCAGCAGCACGTCCAGCGCCTCGGAGAGCGACGCCAGCGACGGAGACGGCAGCCCAGGGCGCTCATCCGCGGACAGGTGCGAAGAGGAGTGCACTATGTGGGCTTCTAGTGTACAATGGGGCCCATTGGCCACTGTGTGCACTGCTAAAATGCAATTGGGACCGATTGGCCACTGTGGGCTAATAAAGTACGAGAGGGTCGGTTGGCGACCACGTTGATGCTGAAGTACTGGGCTGTGGGACATGCGTCTGAAAGGGCGCTGTGATGCGTGCCACACTTACATGCTTATGCTGCCAATGCACATTGAATAAACATTCGCAACATGAATAAGTAAGTAGAAAAACCAATTTCATGTCCTTTCATCTCATCTTATGCGTCTCACACATCCCTTGCAAACGTTGGCGCTGACATGCGCCAACGCCAGTGCATCACCAACTTATTGCATACCACCACCAAATTAAGCACACTGTGGCTACGATGATTGGCAAAACCAATGGCAAATAACGGCTGACTGTGGCTGCTGCTGCACAGGTTCAAGTCCTCCCGTGTGCGCCTGGCCGCCTTGAGCCTGCTGCAGGTCTGCGCTCAGAGCGACGGCCGTAGCTTGCACCAGCACTGGATGAGGCTGCTTCCCAGCAGGCAGCCGCTGCAGCGGTGGCCGCACACGCCCACGCTACTGACCGTGCTGCTGTACGACCCACAGCAAAAGGCGAGATACTAACAAGAAAACTGACATTGGTGATGACTTGATAATGCTGTTTCAACGTCCTTCGCTAATGGTAGTGGTGGTGTTGTTTGCGCCATGTTGGGGGCAATTTCATTCCATGCTTAGTCGCGGTGACTTGATAAAAGAATGGGAGTTTAGTGATGAAAGAGAAACGCATTGCTTGGCTTTTGAAATCGTATTAGAAAAGGCCAATTTCTGAGATGTGCTTTTGGCTCCAAATTTCATCGGTGATAACAGCAATGCTGGCATAAGGCAGGCAGGATATGTTGCGATATACGACAATGAAATATTGGGACTGCATGGGCCTAATATTGAAAAGTTGGTGCTCAAGCGCAATCAACGGACGTTGAGCACAACAACCATGCAGCAAGTAGAATTGCTCCAGAAATAATTGAATTGTACCATGAAAATTGCTGTCATTACCTATAGTATGCCATATTTCAGTCCAGAATATGACACAACTGATATTGCACTTGCTCATGCACGGGCTATCCTTGTTTGTTTGATCCATTATCATAGATGCAAATGAGATCTCGTTTAACTTATTGGAATTTGAATCGCTCAAAGATTGGCTGTTATTTTTGCCAGCACAGATACCTCACGCAGCCAACGGCACCGCTTGGTATCTGGCAGATGCTTGCATTCGGCTGCATTGGCTCATAACTGCCGATCACATGCCATGGTGCCATTCTATGCATAGCCATATGGCCATTTGCAGATATTCACGGCTATTCAAGCGGTGCAATCCAAGGAATTCATCCCTTCTGTGTCATTTTCAACACGTGCACAATCGTGTTGCATTGACAGTATTCGTACAGAACTCACACAAGAGTGGTAATTGACGAAATGGCGGGAAGCAATGGCGGTAATGGTAGCAATAATGATTTTTGTGGTGGCAGCTGAATAACATGTGTAACTTGTGGCTACCACATGCAACATGCACCGGCATGGGACGAAATCGGGCAACTGAAGCCGTCCTTAAAAGGATGTGCATTGAGCAGATTCAAGAATGAATTACATAAACAACAATTAAAATGGAAGAATGGGAAAAACATCAGTAAATTAACAGCTTTGGGCAAGTTTTTACCAGCGTTGTGTGGGGATACTCAGGTGCGAGCAGCAAGCGCCCAAACGATCGGCGTGCTACTTGAAGGCCGCCAGCAACGCTCCTTCTTGGCGGTCGCCAAGGTGGATGACTCATCCAGCACACATCCCCTTGGCCGGTGGGTGCGTTGCCGGCAGTGAACAGCGAAGCTCATGGTGAAGTGCTGTGCGGCTCCCGCTGTGAATGACGATGTTCGCAGCGAGGTTCTGTGCAGCTCGCATCAGCACTGTGGCTTCCAGCAATGCCAGAATCGAGTTGGCCGGGTGAACGCCTGTCTTGTATTCATCGAAATCGGCAGAACACTATCGATAATGAACAGTTCACAGTAACACGACTAAGATTGCACGGATTTGTCCAACTTTGCCATGTTTCGTTTGGGTTTGCTGTTGTACTTTACGATTTTCAGTACCCAAACAAGATTGGATCATTTTCGCACGATTCGACACACAATCGAGTCACTTACAAACTCAACGTTGCATTTGCACCAGATATTCGTGCAAAGCCCTTAATGTGAAACATTTACATGATCCACGCCACAAAAGCAATGCATGCATGGATATGTTCACACGCGCAAGGGGTGTACATACCGGTACCACAACGTCAACGTTTGGGTGGGCTGTCGACAGGAGCTTCACATCCTTGTCAGTTTCTCTTGGCCGCATGATTCTGTCACTGCATGAGGGTCTGCACTGCGCCCTGGGACAGGAGACCAGGACGAACGTCATTTTGGCGGTCCTGCGCGCCCTAGCCTCACTGGTGTCGTCCGTGCACTACGACCGCCTTCCAGCAGATCTGCCCATCCAGGTTTCCAAGGTAATTGACTGCTACATCAACACACCGCTCATTTGTGCATAACAAGGCAAGGAGTTAGTGGTCAGTTTCCTGTATTGCTCCAGCGAAACAGTGTCCATCTCAATGAAATCTAGCGCTTGACACAAACAAAGTCAAGAAAACCGTCGATCGCTTCATCAATCCATCTTTAGCTGTTTCAGCCAGCCTGGTTGGTATGCCAGCCTGGCTGGTAGGCATTGGAATTAGGGCACATTCCATCAATCTGCCTGTCAGCCCATCAGCTATTCATTGAATTGATCAGTCGTTCGCTTAAGTGGTCGATGAACCAATGAGCCAATCAATCAATTATTTGACCAAGATTTGAATTGTTGATTGCTTGATTGACTTTTGTAGGAGCTTGCTTGCATGGCGTTACTCCAGCGATGGTCCTAGCAGGCACCTGCTCTTTTTGTTGCCAACGCAATTTCAAATAGTGGTATGTTTTTTTGTTGTCGTTTGTAGTAAAAATTGAAACTGGCGAGAGTTGGCTAAGAATGCCCTGTTTCCACTCCGCAATGATGGAAACCCGTGCTCATGGCCACGCTGCTGATGCCCGATTTCGCAGCAAAGATTCCACCTTTGGTTCACCGCTTTTCACGGGTTGTTGCGCTTCAAACGCCCGCCGAATAGTGGAACACAGTGCGCATGCCCCACTGTCGCAGCACGGTCTCCCTGCCGTGCTGTTGGTGGCCACCATGCCTACCAGGGGCCACTGATGAATGAATGAATGAATCAATGCATGTATCTTCAAAGGCAACATCAAATTACGGCATAGTGATCATGTCGCGTGCCTCTACTGAACTTTAAACTGTCACAAATGCCAGCTTTCTAGCGGCCTGCGCGTGGCCTCACAATGCTCAGCGAAAACACGCCAACACCCCCGCCATCAGGTCGACCGCTAAAATGTGGTGTGAGGCTCAGATTTTGCAATACTTTGCTTGCACCACCTGAGCCTGAAAGGGAACATTGTTTTGGGAAAAAAGCAGTACAAAGTTTATTAATGTACTGCGTATTATTGTTCTCCCTTTTATTATTGTACCCCCTTTTCTAAAGGAGGGTAATGGGAGCTTCGTTCGCTGAGCATCGTTGCCCGCCCCCCACAGGTGGTGACCCGGTGCTGGCATCGCCTGCAATCGATGGACGACCGCGAACGGGCAGCGGAGGCTGCCGCCCTGTCCGTGCTGCGCCTGATGCTGTCAGCAGCCCTCCCAAATGCGGCCTTGCGGCGCAACCTATCCGGCGAACCTGACACCATCGAGGTGTGCAGGCAGGTTGGGGAAGCAACACAGTACATTGATGGTGTAGTCACTGTGCTAGCATCTTTGGCATTTTTAAGTGTTCGGGCCTGGCGTCTGGGTGCGCTGACTACAAATGGCCTGCAGTTTCAACAAAAAGATTGTGGTGGAAATCGCACGGTACCACATGCCTTCAGAGTCACGGTTTTCTGTGGCCGTTGTGAACACTGGCAAAATAATAATAGACGTGGATATACGCAACTTATTTTGTACAGAGTTTTGAATCTTCGAAAGCACCAGAAGCCAACTGTCCTGTCCTTCAGCGCATGTCAAAACCGCAGCCGCTTCCCCAGTCTTTGGCTAGTTTTGCGACATCAGCTGCCAAGACCGATCAGCCACGCGGCCTGCCTGGGCATCCCGCCATTAATTGAAGGATCTCTTTGGCATGGCCCCGTTGCCGCCAACAGCGAAGGGGAGAAAAAGGAGTGCAGGAGGAAGCGCGGCCCCGAGGGCAGCGTGTGTTTTTCGGCATTCATGTGTGCATATATTTTTGCCCTGTATGTATGCACACTGTTTTTTTTGCATGTACTCTGCTTATCTTTGCATGTCCATCTTTTGGAAGACCCCCAGGACAACCCCAAACGGGGGCCCCCCACTTCAGGGCGGGTCGTACGGAGAGTGGAAAAAAAATTCAAAATGTAGATTAAAATGGATTAAGACCCAAACTCAACTGTCAGCTCTGAATGTCAGTTGACCAAGGGGCAACCCTTTGGCTACAACTTGTAGTGCAGACACAATTTAAGGCGAAGTTGATACATTGGAATACATGACATTACAACCTCGGAGACAAAAGTGTTACAAACAAGTACCATAGATTACTGAGTTGTGCTGCCACTTTTCTGGAAACAGGGTTGCAGAATAACAATGTTATTCTATCAGCTGTCAGTGTCATTATTGTAGTATTTTGCTATGGTACATTGTTGGCTGTCAACCAACGCCAAAGTACACTAAGCGTTGCACTGCTCTCCTAAATGAGTGCTCCGGCAATCTCTCGCAGGACGGCAAAGCGGCTGCTGCTGCAGTCTGCTCAGACCACAGCCATGGCGGGCGGGGCGACAAGGGCCTCGTCGATGAACTCGTGGAAGTAGCTGGTGCTGGGCGGGCTGCCGTTTGCTCAGAAGCCCTTGCTGTGCTTGCCGTGGTGGCCAGCCACTACTTTGAACTCCTGCAAGGTAGAAATGAAACCGGGGGATGTTGCTCTGCGCTGCATGCTGGCGAGGACAGTCCAGTTTCGTTCGGTTTCTGTCACGTGAATGTGCCACCCATCGGCTGTGGCTGCATTGTCGTCACGTGCAACTTAATTGCGTGAATTGTTGCCGTTGGTGTGATCAGGTGTACAGCGGCTCCGCCATCTATACAGGACTATTCTCATGTACATTTGATAAAGGCGCTCGAACAAAGCAGGAAGACAAGGATCGCGAAAATGCACTCATGCTTGATTTGGAATCTTGTTCAAATCCAATATATTGCATTTAATCAGTTGTATGCCATAAATTGGGCGTGTGTTGTGTTGCACATTGGACGGTATGGTCGACCTTTGTGGTGCTGTGGAGCCTCCAGGATGCGGCAAACACCTCATTGCACAACAGCATAATTACATGCAGTATGACTGTAGTAGACAACGCATTAATACAATGGCAATGAGCAGCTGTACAGCACTTGAGCGCAAGATTGGCGCCTCGGGCAGGCAGGTGGCTGCAGGTGTCTCAGCTGCTTCGGACTGCGGTGGGAAATCACAACAGAGCGGAGGCATTCACTGCGGATGGCAAATCGGCCCAAAACGCCCTGAGGGTCGTGGGAGCGCTGCTGGCCTTTGGCGGGAAAGAGGAGGGAGGCGGCAGTGGCGACGCGGGCCTCAAGGAACAGGTGGAACAAGCTGCTGGGCGAATCCAGTATTGAAGTCTCCGCTGAAGCGCTGGGAATAGGTGGAACTCTCTGTATCGCCGATTGCTGGACACGGTGCTAATTGCATTGCTTTCTATTGCAAGTTGATATTGTTTATATATAATGTATTAGTTTGTTTTGTGTTTCCTGACTTCAAGTGATTTTATTGCAAAGGTGCGTGTTGAATGCGGCGCTCATTGTCCAAGAGGTGGCCATCTTACATGGATCAAAAATCGTGCATCAAGAGTGCGAAATAGTTGAACGTTGTTTTATGCGGCGCGTTTTGTTATGTGAATACGAACTAATTGAACTTGCTTGTGAACTATATTCTAGTTCGCAAGCAAATCAGACCGAAATGGAAATGAACCAATCGCGTTGCAAGTGTTTTGATTGTGTCTTTGGTGTTATTTGGCACTGGTGCTTTGCACAAGCAGTTCGCTCCTCGCTGATTGGAAAAAATGGTGTGGTCCATGCATTGCTTGTACTTTGTGCATGCAGCGCATCCCAGTGCCTTGCCACTGGATCAATTCCCATGAGTCAAAAGCTTGAAAGAGCCGTGGTTTGCCCTTTCAGTACTGCTTTATTATTGTAATTGCAACTGCTTTACAATTCGCACCAGCATTCATCACAAAAAATAATCGAAATAGCAATGATGAAGCACTACTTGTTGTTTTTGATATTGGTGCATATGTTTCATGGCTTTATTGTCACTCTTCTTTTCTTGTTCTGCTCCAGTGTGATGGCGCAGCACCCCTTTGGCTGGAGGTTGTTTCTGTCATCCTGCCACCCGCTCTGACTCATCGATCTGGGCCTGTCCGGACGGCCGCACTGGCAGCAGCTGGGGCTGCTGGGGCTTGGGCCCTGGGGACCCTCCCCCCATCAGACCTTAGGGACCTGGTGCAAAAGGTTGTCGACAGCGGAGGCGGGGACGCAGCGGCATCTGTGAAGTGTGGCGCCTGCCGTGCCATCGGGAGCCTCGTGACCCATCACTGTGTGCTGGGACAGCAGGTGCACAAACGCAAGGCTGCCGCATTGTTGTGAATAAGAACAGACATTGGAGCTGCATTAGGACATGTGTTCTTGCTGTGAGGAATTCAGCAAGGTTTTTGTGTGGTTAGCGGACGTTGTGCCATTCCTGGAGATGATAATCGTGTTTCATGTCGTGTTCAATGCTTGGTTTTGATTCAAGTATGATAATCGTGTTTCATGTCGTGTTCAATGCTTGGTTTTGATTCAAGTATTTACTTTCTTCTCCTTTGAAATGGGGGGATGGGAAAAGCTGCAGGTGCTTGCTTCAGTCCACTTTCATAATGGTGAAAAATGGTCAAGACGACTGTGAGATTTGGCTCTCTAGAATGCTCTGTTCCCATGTTACCTCAACGTCTTTTGTGTCCTCTACTTGAGAAGTGTATGGGCGTTTGGACGTACAGGGCCTGAGTTAGGCGTCTGCTGTGCGCCCAACTGTGCAGGACTCAATAGTGAGGTATGTCCCATAGGAGCATTTTGTCACCATTCTGGTACCTGTTTTGAGGCCATCTGCCTGCCTCTGTAGGACATGTTCCCGAGCATGGCGTCCGTGATCACGTCCTGCCTCTCCAATACCACCCTGGCCGTCCGCATCAGCGCCTCCTGGGCCCTTGCCAATATGTGTGATGCCCTCGCAGCTGCCCACAAGCGCCTCGCTGAAGCCCCCATCTCCCCCGCTGCCTCGGACCTGGCCACTTTGGCTGCCCCGGCCATCGCTGCAGCCAGCGACTCGGAAAAGGTCAGGGCCAATGCTGTGCGGGCGATAGGACACCTCCTGGGAGCTGCTGTCTTTGGGCCCACTGGCCCACGGACCTCAGGGACCTGCAGGGAAAGTCATGAGCCTGGAGCACAGGCCTCAGGGACCTGTGAGAAAAGTCGTGATGGCCAAAAATCAGATGGCCACGAACCCGGCGGCGTCAGAGCAGCTTTTCAAGCTACCGGCTGCCAAGAGGATTCGTCTGAATCTTCCAGAGTCCGGACCCAGAATCAGATTCCAGATCTTTCAGACTCTTCCATCAATAGCCCAGCTAATGAGGATGGGAACCGCAAAGGCAACGCCTCAGTATCTGGAGCTTCTACCAAGTTTGATTCCGCAGCTGATCCACAGCTGCCGGAATCCCATGCCTGGCTGGGCCCTGCCGTGCGCTGCCTGACCTCTGGCATGTCCGCCGCCAGTGCCAAGGTGCAGTGGAACTCGTGCTACGCTGCCGGCCTGATGGCCGCCAACCCGTCAGCCCTCAAAGCCGCCCATGCCTCCCATATCTTAGAGCCCATCCTGGCTCGCCTTGGGGCCCTTGTCTGCGAGAGCGGAAACTTCAAGGTGCAGACTCATGCGGCAGCAGCAATAGGGGCTGTGCCCAAGCGGCGGCATTTTGGGGCCACCTATGCAGGAGTGTTGGGGATGATCCTGTCCAGGCTGGAGGCTTTGGCATCCGGGCCACAGGCAGAGCCGATTGGATCGATACAATCGAGTTCGGTTGGGGGAAGCGATGGCGAGCGACAAGGCGAGGAAGGCAGAGAGTCCACGGAGGATGCGAGCTTTCCTAATTTCAGGTGAAGTATACTAATGTGGTGCACAGTGGCAGAAAATGCCACTTTGCGGGGTCAGTGGTGAAGCCGTATTGACACCAACTGGCACCATCACAGCGATCGCGATTGCTCGAATGTAGCTGTGATGGCGTGAACTAATGTCGAATGGCAATCGCAGTTGGCGTTGCAAACATGGTGTTTTCTAATGGTGGCCAGTTTGGCTAGGTGCTTTGGTTTCTGAAGTTCTGGTTCTCTTAGGTACTGTGCAGCGCTGAGGGGGGAGCTGGAGGACACGCTGCTGCACCTGCTGACCCTGAACGAGATGGCGGACGATGATGCAATCAGGGGCGTCGTGCTGCCGCATGCTGACCTCATGGCGACACTGCTCGGCAACGCGCTGCAGGAGGGAAGGGGGTGGGAAGCTTCTCGTCGGTGTGCCACAGCAGCGGCTTCTTCAACAACTTCGAGGGCAGCTTCCGATGGGAGGCTCGCAGCGGCTTCTGAGCTGGCTTCTGGGGGACTTCCGCCAATTGGGGATGGGCAGAGGGTAGAGATTGGAAGGGTCGAGAAGTTTAAGGTGGCGTTGGGCGTGCGGGAGCGGGGGCCGAAGGACCGAGTGTTGAAGACGGTGATCAAGGGGCTGATGCGCATGGAGGGGGAGTTTGGCAGGTGGGGCCGCGACCTCGGGGAGTTAATAGGTGACACGGATGGAGTGGTGGTGGAGCCGAGTGACCTAGTTGTAGGGAAATGAATAGGCGCTTTCAAGCAAACGACGTGCATGCATTGCGCCCGTCATTTTGAGGGGGAGGGCTGTGGTTTACCGCTTTTTACCAAATGTGTAGTGATGAATGAGTGCTGGCATGTAAAATAAATTATAAATGTCTAGTAAATTTGCGTATTAGTATGTCTTTATGTGGTGATCAACATGTCATGCCTCAGCGTACGGTTGTTTTCAATAAGCGTATTGATAAACTCTTTCAAACCAATTGGTTCGGCCCAGCTGTCGAGCTGGTGCGGTCAGTAACCCCAGCGTTTCCCTTAATAAGACAACATGAGAAATTTTACGCTCAGCGTCAAATGGACACTAAGGGGGGGAAGCGGTTCAAGCCACGGACGCTAGGAGATTGCATAATTGGAATAAAACCATAATAAGACGAAGAATTTGGAACGCCTTGCAGCCATCCGAAAATGCACGTTAAAATTGTGACGCAGACCTCTGATGCCCAGAGCACATGCAAGCAACTGTTATTTTTTATGCTGAAGCCGTGCATCAGTTTCCAAGGAAAGAAAATGCGAAGAGAAGTACTCAATGCCTGATGCCGTGATTGCAACCCTGTTGACGTAAGACCTAAGCATTTACTCGCTATTGCACGGGCGCAGCCCTCTGCTTGTCAATCACAAAGGCTTGGCAATCTGGCTCGCTTGCTGCGGCGCAGCCAATTTGCTGAGGTGCACATATGCAAGATTCTTGCAAGAATCACAAAAGAAATTCTGAATAGATTGCAGAAATGCAATTGTGGGCGTGTGGATGCTGCAATGATGTGCGTGCAAATTCCCTGCTTGGTGACCACTGCGTAAGTGGCGGCAGGCATTTGAGAGCAGTTTGCCATCAGACTTGTGCTGCTCACCGCGCAAAGTAGTCGTTTTACTGTGTAACCTGCACAACACCTGACAGCATGTTCATAGGGGGCCAGTGTAAAGCATCGTAGGTGTTGGGATCCGTGCTGTAAAGGCAAGCAAGCTTGGGCGCGATCACAAAGCCCGTCGTGGTGGTGACTGCAATGCGTGCCGCAGTTTCGCGGCTACCACAAAAAGGCTTTGTCGATCACAAGGGGCAGCTGGCATGAACTGCCGAGGGAGTGGCTGACTACACATGAGGCGACCGCGCATTGCACTAACCCTTGTAGCACTGTGGGGTGTGTCACAGAACAGCAGTGATGGTTTTGTTTTGATGTGTTGCAATACGGTGTCGTTAAATGCTGCAAGGGGTGGCAAAATAAGGACTGATGTAAAGAGGGGAGGGAGGGGCCTCTAAACGCAGCATCCATGCGATGCTAAACGTACCAAATTCACAATAGTTTCTTCCCCAAATCACCATTAAACATCATGCACATGCATGTGCACCATATGGTGACAACATACTAAACTCACCAGGCCAGGCATCCCGCCTCAATGCCTGGCCCCTCCTAGCTAGATCAATGTCTGAGCACGGGTTCCACATGTGGACGCAACATGTGCATGATGGAACAGTGTGCAACATGTTGCTCTGTTGTGGGCGTGACGACAACACGTTCGAAACACTCCCATGACACAGCACTTCCCCGCCAACATGTTTTTTACTTATGACTATGGGCCCGACAGCCGGCAACACGTCGCACACACATTGCAAGCACAGTACTGTGCTAAGACTAGTACTGTACTAAGTACCAGTACTGTATTAAGACTAGTAAAGACGCAATTGAAGGCTGTGCGACACGTTTTCCTGAAGATGCTTGGTGGCTGAACATTTAAAGCACGATCTGAACACGTTGTGAACACGATTCGAAACTTGTGAGCACGTGTTTTTGCTGCGCTTCGAGGCTTAGAATTATCAACAGGATAATAACACAACCTCAGGCCGCACAACGCGTTCCTACACGAACTGAGACTCAACGCATTTTGCTAAACGAGTTATTTGGTCCTTTTTTCTGGTGTTGAGAGGCCTCGCGAGCAAATAGCTTTGGAAACACAGGCGAAGGTGCGGAACGCAATTGACGTTTGTTTGTTAGCCCGAAAGCTACATCACCTACTGGGTAATGAAGAGGATTAAATTTTCTAATTCAAGTTCAGTAATTCAAATCTCCTTCCAAAGGAAATAATTTTAGCAAGAAAATAACAAAATCATTTAGAAAGTTGTATATAGAAAACCGCTATATGCAAATAACCATGGTCATCGGAAATGCTACTTAAATTTGAATAGTTTGGTGCGATTCAACCGAGGATATATGGGAACATTTGGCTTGGCGAGTACGGCAACAATAGAAAATGATAAAAAATGCAGCAGATTAGTCTCACAGGCTAACTGATTCTGGTTTGTGGACGACATTCCATCATCAGACTTTAGGCTTGCATTAGCTTTTGACCGGTGGCGAAAGTTGATTCTTTAAATAAATGAAACTATAAAACAAATTGAAGGAAGGTTGCACGATGGTAGGGATGCTTCCGTTGACCTGATGGCCATCCCTCCTCCTCACAAGCCATGCGCCGCTCGCTCCAATTAATACGATCCGTATTACTAAAGATCTCGTGGACAATTTTGGATGGCACAAAGCATCGTTCCCTTCGAATGCGTGGGAACGGGCTGCGTGCAGCTACAGGTTGCGAATTTACCTAAGTTGCTGAGAAGTTCCATTTGCGACTGGCCGTCGGCTGCAGCCGCCGTTCATGCGCCAATTTTACTTGTCCTCACGCGACCTGCAGGAAGGCGGCACACAATGCAATGGATTCATGCGCAGCTTCGCGACATATGCCTGACACGCTCCGATATGTACGATCCGATTCGATTCGATCCGATCGGGTGCCTCCAAGGTGGATCTTCCCACCACCTTCAGAACCACCCGGACGGGGATATAGCTTTGGCACCCTTCAGTACCCTCACACCCAATAGGGATTTTGTGACGTTGGCAGTGTGGATTTGACACGACGGCGGAAGCTTTCTCCTCACGAGCCGTGGGGCACACGGCCAGCCTGACGCTGTCCCATCATTGGAAGAGCGCATAAGCCCCCTGCGCATGGCACAGTGCTCCGCCTTTCCCTCGAGGTGCCGCGAGGGGACGGCGCCCTGAACTCGAGCTGTGGTGGCTGATCGGCACGGGGGACTGCGCCCCGTTGCCAGCTGGCCATCTGCGGCAGAAGCCTCTGGTGCGATCGCATCGCGCGTTTGTGGAACGAGCTGCGAATCAATGCAGATGCGCACTTGTCTCTTGCAAGTTTCTGAAAACAGCCCATGAAGGCCGCCCTGCATGCAGTCAAGCTGGATACCTTTACCAGCGGGCTCAGATCTCCGTAAGCCTGCTGTCTTTGCGACCTGCTCTCTTGCCATCCCCAAACCTCCAGAGCAACAAGCGAAGTCTGTCAGACATTAGAGTCCCAATTTCCTGCAAAGTCGCCCAGGTCCCGCGTTGCAGGAGGCTGCGACTTCGCATCCTCATGGTGTCAATGGGAGAACTGGGAGCCCTGCAGGTGCCATGACCCCCCGTTCTTCCATCCCCAACCTGTGACTTCGCAGAGTGCTGCGACGCCATAGAGATATGACGCCGCAGGAGATTGGGCCTTTTCTCCTGTCGAACACGTTGGTGACATATCTGTGCAGGCGGGCCGTGCAACGCTGGTGGGTTGACATATCTTTGGCTCAATTTTGGGCTCGAATTCCCGCTGGAGGCACCCCAGATGTAATGCCTGACATGGAACCAGCGCAAGGGCCCGCAGATCGTGGCAGTTCTCCTATGCTGAAGGTGGACGTGGGAGGGAAAGTGTTCGAAATGGCCAAGGCGGACATCGCCCGTTTTCCGGGGTCCCTTTTGGCGGACATCGTGGAGAAATGCCCCGATGCTCTGACGCGGAAAGAGCCACTTCAGATCGATCGAGATCCCTGTGGATTCGAAACAATTGTCAACATATACAGGTGGGTTTCTGAATCTGCCCTGTAGTACAATCAGCTACTTTCTTGAAACGATAGTCGTTTTCTTCATCCTATGTCCAAACTTTGCGCTGCAGATTGGTTACTGGAGAAAGAGCTCGAGTGTACATAAGACGTTGGGAGCTGTTGGTAGTGGCGATTTGAAATCACCCACGTGCATTTCTATGTGCGCAGTGGATATACACCCGCGGAAACAAACGCGATCATCATTTGATAGCGACAGAGCGCAGCATCCAATTATGTGTGTGCGAAACAGGGAATGCCCAGGCACAGTGCAGCAAGAGGTGTGTTTGTTACTGTTGCTTCGCGTGCGCACCTTAATTCGAATCGTAATGTTGCAATTTGTGTGCCTAGGACTGGGAAACTGGATGCAAGGGATGCTGCTCGCCACTGCTGCATCGATGCTGCCCCGTGTACTCTGGAATCTTTGAGCACTGATCTGGAGTTTTATATGCTTCCAAAATTGAAGGAGCTTATCTGCGATGATGATGGCGGTGATCCAAGGATTCTGAACCTGAATATTGAGTTGCAACTTCAGAAAGCCGTCGAAAGCATGTACGGACAAGCGAAGTCCATAGAAATTCACGGACTTCTTGCGAACGAGATTTTCTTTGTGTTACTCGAAATGAATGACAAGGTGGTTGCCAAACCCTACAAAGAGGACAAAATGACTCGAAAAGGTCATGCAGCGTCCATGCGTGTATCCGCAAGGAGGTATTCCCCAGCTTTCTTGGTGTTTCATCTTGGACCTACTTCTCAGAAGATTCTATCCAGCCTGTGTGCTCAAAAAGGTTATATGTGCTCGATTCAATATTTCCACTTTGAAGGCTACGGTATGAAGAATTTGGAGCACCAGGTGATCTGTTTGAGTTGGTGACGTTCTTCTCACGGTTTACGGTATGCAGCTGGATAGATGCCGAGTTCCTTGATGTTTGCCATACATTGCATTGGGGAGTCGTGCGCTGTGAGATTACGATAGCAATGTTATGTCTTGGATTGGGAGCTACGGGAGCTGTGGCAGGCGCTGTGGCAGGACCATTGGTGAGATTGGGCAGTTGGCTGTGCCGCGACGG